CCCCTCCCCAACATTAGACATACCTTCTTGTCAACTTTTACTAATACGCTTAGCGTCTTATCCACGTTTCCTTTCCCTTTTTGCGTTTAGTGAGGAGCACGTGTACGAGTATAAAATGAATTCGCACAGAGAGCATCGATTCAGTCAATCGTAACATGTAGTCGGGGTACGCATATATACCTCTTACCGTCTCTGTTCATAAACTTTCGTGATTTTCGTTGGCTAGATTTATCCTTTCGCTGCGCCGAGTATATAGACTAGAATAAGAACGCGATCGTATGTATTTTATTTGCCTTCGAATCGTTCATACAATTTATGTTCGATTTTCAAGCGTGTAATTTTTTATGTGTTTCTCATTCCAATCATAATCAATCGTCACAAAATATATTTTCGTTCGCACGATGCTGTCCACCTGCAAAATATGTTGTAAGTACCACCTGCATTTTGTAAATATGATATTATTTAATTTTCTACAAATCCGATCTCTCGTTGCAAGTAAGACGATCAAGTTTTTGTAGAAAAAATTACACGCACCGAGTACCACATTGTTATTTAAATGGTACAAAAATTCATTATTATTATTTCCCGTAATAAATTTCCACAATTTGTATCTCGAACTGGATATTAGTGGATTTTGCTTCATCTATTCGATAATTATTCGTTTCGTGAGATAGAATAAGAATTGAGATAGATTAAGAATGAGATAGAAGGAGAATAATCTTATGTGGGTAAATCAATTACATATGCGATAAAAGTTACGTAAATGATTTGTTGAAAAAAAAGTAATATTAATATTTCATGGTATCGTGGTAATAAATTTCTTCCTTAGCTTTGTAGCTTGACAATTAACGATCAACGAAATGTACATAAGCGATGTAGAGTTACCTATCATTACATACCTATCGATGCAGATTTCTTACATTTATGGTAGTTATTGCTTAATCAAATAATTTTTTACGCAGAAAAATGTCAACGTTATTTAGAGAAACATTATGGGAAGTTCCGTGATCTGTAGTATTAGATGTGTGATGAAATCAGTAATAATAGTCTATCGTTATCTTAGGTAATCTGTAACTAGGTGATGTATTTGAATTTTTATCGAGAATTCTTTGAATTCTTTTGCGCATGGTACAAAAAAGCATTTAAAAAAAACGATTGCTTTGCCTTCAAAAGAAGAACGAAGCAAAGTAACAACGTGTAAAGTGAAGAGCGGAAAAGAACTAAAAAAATTCATGAATAAAGTTTTTGAACGTGACGTAAAAATAAAGGTGAAAAATACGAAAAATACCGTGTTCCGATTAAAGGGAGATTTTATATAACATTGACTGGTTTTATGTAGAACGGCAGCTGGAGAAGGTTGACCGAAGTAAGGAAAATAACTAATTCCACATATAAGACAGAATTATAGCAATTAAGATCATTTGTATCTACGAAATATGCCGACAATCGCTTTCTCGTTATCTTTACGGCGAATCAGCGATTCTGTCTGCCGATATGATCATTATTGGTAGTTTTTGGCCTCTTATGTTTGGATTTTCCTTATATCGTGTCAGATAAGATAAACTCGTTGATGCTGCGTCTGGTGATATTTAAACAAAAACCCGAGTGACAAAAACTTATGCGATCGTTTGATTGTATCATGGATCAATAATGAGTGATCATTAATGATTTAGGAGACACGTATCGCATATATATCCTTTCAATTTTATCTTTTTTTCTATTTTTGTCAATTGCGCATAATTCATTATCATCTAAAAAAAATGTGATTTTTCCTTTTGATTCAATACATATAGTTACTTGATGCAAAACTGAAACCTACAAATAGAAAAATTTACGATATAAAGATGTCAATGATGCTTGAATAACCAGAAAATAAGGAAAAATTCGTCTAACATCCTGATATTGTGACACAGAATACAATTTATTGTATACGTATATAGATATAGATATTCATACTATTCTCTTTAATTTAAAATGTTCTATTTACCATTTCGAAATTGAAGGGAACTGTAGTGTTATATATTATTTTCTTTGCACCGTTTTTGTTTCTCTTTTTAAAATATTTAGTCATTATTTCGTTACAGTCTGTATAATATAACTTTATTTAGAAAGTAAAAAAAATATGGGGACTTCAGATATTTCAACACATCTTGGAAAATGAAAAAATGTTAGACAGAACATTATAAGTAAGGAAAACGATATAGATAACGTCTACGTAACTACACAAGTAGCACTCTTCTCGTGGGTCTCGATATATTGCTGCAATATACAAATATTCTTTATCATCATCTTGTCGCCCAGCTTTTTATTAATCTTTTGGTCAGAGTTCTAATCTGACCATTGATAGAATTTAACCGCCTATTATTTCCTGGTTATGTTTCACTTCTTTTTTTCTTTCTCGACATTTACATTTTGATACATGATATGCTAATAACAGATGACCGCGAATGGAATTTCAATTCCTCTATTTGTAAAACATGTCGTCCGTAACTTTAGTCCCTTCAGATCATAATTACATAATTAAAAACAGATCACGAATTATCGTTACCGGAATCGCTAAATATCGGAGTATGACCTTTTGTTTCAAGGATTGTTCGTTTTCGAATTTCTCTCTCTCTCTCGCTCGCTCTTTCCTCTTCTTCCATTCCTCTCTTGTACTCCTTGTTGGTTCAACGTTTGCCGTTTACCTTTTCAATAAGCACAACTCGAAATCGAAATTATGCGCTATGCCGAAGTCAGTGATACGTGCAAGGAATCTGACCTTTACCTAGATAAGTTTGTACGGTTCGTTAGACAGCTGCCAATAGGGGAAAGGCTCCGCTGCTAATCGTCATTCCTTCCGCGCTGTTAACCTCGGGCTTTCTTCTTTGCGACATGACAGCGTGAGTTTATTTATCGACGCTATTACCAATAAGAGATATGTTTACATGCACACAGGTGGAAGAATACCGCAACGATGGATATTCGCAATAATGGGTTTTTTGGCGCTCTTTAACGCTTACGCGATGAGAGTCTGCTTGTCGATTACGATTACTGAGATGGTAATTCCGATGCATGAGAATACGACACACTTCTATGACAATACTTGCCCGGTCAGGAATGAGAGTGGGAAAGGGGGTAACAATGGCACGCAATCGTACGCAAAACGGTATGAGTGGAGTGAGACGATGCAGGTAAAAACACACACGCGCATACGTGCATATGTACACTGCCTGTCATACGTATAAGTAGGCAGACACCTGTTGATATTTAATACAAATTGAATGCTTTTCACTGCTTTTAGTTTCTAATTATATTACTTTTTTTTAATCGCATTCAACTGCCAAGGTACTACTTCTACTATTACTTTTTTGGTAAAAACAATGCACATGTTATTCTCACTTTTGCTAGAGGTTCCAGTACTCTAAGCTTATTAGCAAGGTGTTTTTTTGAAACGATCATTGTGGTATGCGCGTCTAAATTATGTTATTTTAAATCTGTTATTTCATTTGTATCAGATGTGCCTTATAACGTAAAATATTAAGTAAATTAAGATATTCTGGAGTTTTCCAATAAATTAAACAAATACTTTAGATTTCTAATACTTACGGCAGGCAGTGTATATGTGTATGTATATATATATATATATGAATGATATATACTTACGATATCGAAAGAAAAAATATTCTAATAATTACGAATTGTATCTTATAGTACATATGTATTTCTATATGCACTTGTAATACACGTTTTTAATCTTCCTCGTTCAGGGTATTATCTTGTCGTCGTTTTACGTGGGCTATGTGATAACACATCTACCTGGAGGGATGTTGTCTGAAAAATTCGGTGGGAAATATTCCCTCGGTTTGGGTATATTGGCGACCGGCGTTTTCACGCTAATTACACCGCTCGTCGTAGAATATGGAGAAGCAATAGGTCTAATCGTCGTACGCGTGTTAATGGGCCTCTGCGAAGGGACAACATTCCCGGCGTTAAACGCAATGCTGGCCCAATGGACACCACCTGAAGAAAGGTCCATGATCGGTTCGTTGGTATTCGCCGGTGCTCAACTCGGCACGGTATTTGCCAACTCTTTGTCCGGTCTCATTATTCATTACTCGGCGATAGGATGGCCGGCTGTGTTTTACGTATTCGGTAGTGTCGGAATTCTTTGGTTTTTGATATGGCTGGTAACGTGCTTCAATAATCCAGACACGCATCCATTTATATCCGAAAGAGAACGAAATTTTCTACAAGAAAGGATGCACGCGCATACGCATAAAAAGCCACCTTCGGTTCCATGGAGACACCTTCTTAAATCTGTACCGCTTTGGGCACTAATAGCGGCACAAGTTGGTCATGATTGGGGCTTTTTCACCTTGGTCAATGACCTTCCGAAATATATGAGCAGCGTACTCAAGTATTCGATCAAAGACAATGGATTACTCTCCGCATTACCCTATTTAACTATGTGGATTTGTAGTGTAGTGACATCTTGTTTAGCCGACTGGATGATCACGAAAGGCCTAATGTCACGTACTAATGTACGTAAATTGGGTACTACCATTGCCTCGCTCGGACCAGGAGCATTCATCATAGGTGCATCTTATGCCGAATGTGACAGAACAACTGTTGTTATTATGTTTACCGTTGGTACGACATTAATGGGTATGTATACATATATACAATACGTTGGATAACAAGAAAAACGGCTCTTACCAACATTTTTAATTTTTTAAATGATAACACATTCTAGTAACCAGAACTGAAACTCTCAATATTGTGCAATCGATATTACGGAAATCGGGCTTAAAAATATAATTTGTTCACGATTAATCTAATTAATCTAAAATTAACTAGAGATATGCGTAGAATAATTGAGCCGTTCAGAAACCACATTGATCAACTTTATAAATTGAAAAGTACGGAAAAGTGGTGATTTTATAAATACTGCTTTTTAAATTTACCTCAAAACTTATTATTATTCATGTTATCTTTCAAAATTTGTTTCTTGAGAATTAAATATTAATCGTGTGTTTATGTAATGAAATTAAGAGATTAGATACTGACAGATGAAATTAATCAGTTTGGTTCTCGAGAGGTTCAATCATATAATACTGTAATATGATGAATATTTC